AAAAAAAAAAAAAATTATCTCTTCCTAATTTTCCTTCACTTTCTTAGAAACAAGCATTGAAGTTGCTGTTCTTTTTCAAGCTTCCACCAGTTATAGCAGATGATGGGAATATTGTTCCCAGAGAGTTTTCATTACAGCCATGAAAAAAAACAAACTTCAGAAGTGTGTATATGGAAGATGAGACATATCTCAGGCACAGAAGTCATAGGAATTTTTTTTTATGCATCACAATTATGATTAAATGAATCACTATGTACTTTAACTTTAGTGACTTAAACCAGAGGGGTTTTTAAAAATTCTGTAAAGCATGATTTTTCCCAAGTCTCGGCAAAATTTTAAACATCCCAATTTGGACAGTTTGTTTTTGATGGACACAGGCAATAATGAATTGCTCAAAGAATTGAGATGCTAGAGATATAGAAAATAATTTTGAATTTAAGAATTTCTAGTACTAGAAATTAAATCAATGGAAAACATTGAATGACGATATCATAATTGAGTAAAACATTTAAAAAGTCTTTTTATATACTTTATCTATTATTTTAAAAGTCTGTGTATAAAATAAGTTAATGCTTGACCAAGTGATATCAAATTTAAATGCTTCTATAGATGTATTCACATATATTCAGTTTTAATTTTTTTATGTTGCCTTTTAGATCTGGTGCTCCCTCTCCATTAAGTAAGGTAAGTTTGTGCTTTTGTTTTTTACTATTATATCATAGTTAAGTGTACAGTTCAGTGGCATCAAGTATAATCACGTTGTTGCACAGCTGTCACCATCATCTTCCAAAACTGAAACTCTGTACTCATTAAATGAGAACTCCCCATTCTTCCTCCCCCCACCCCCCAGGCCCTCACAACCACCATTCTACTTTCTGTCCCTATGAATTTGATTACTAGATGTACCTCATATAAATGGGTTCACAAAATACCTGTCCTTTTGTGACTGGCTTATTGTACTTAGCATGTCTTCAAGGTTCAGCCGTGTTGTAGCATGAGCCAGAATTTCCTTCTATTTTAAGGTTGAATAATATTCCATTGTATGTATGTACCACATTTTGTTTGTCTATTCATCTGTCAGCGGATACTTGGGTTGCTTCCACCTTTTGAGTATTATGAATAATGCTGCTATGAACATGGGTGCACAAATATGTAAGTGCCTGCTTTCAATTATTTCATGTATTTACTCAGAAGTGGAATTGCTGGGTCATATGGTAATACTAATTTAAATTTTTTGAGGAAAGGTAAGTTATGGTTTTATGTATTCTCCTTTTTTATTTTCTCAGACCAATGTAGTGTACTATATGTAATTTAGTCCTTTATTTGGACTAAATATTTTAAAGTAGGAGAGATTTTCATGTGTTTGTGTTACAACTGAAAACAAATGTATCAGTGTAATGTTTTACTAGTTACAAAGCTTATGTGAATACATGATATTCTGAGTCACAGCCCTATGAGATAGATAAGGCACATGATGTGATACATATTTTAATGACAGAGAAATCAATCGTCATTAGGTGTCTTTCCACAAGCATGCCTTTTAGACAGTCTCCTATAGTAATTTTAATAACTCTTTCACCTCCCCATCTCTTTTTTAGCATGTTGACAGACAGGATTAAGGTTAGCAGTGACAAGAGTGATTACTTCTATAGGTCTGTGGTTCACATTTGCCATTGTATTTTTCAGGCAAAAATGTAATAGATGTGCTCTTTCTTCCTTGACAACTTTCCATTATATAATTGCTGTCATTACAGACATTCAAGGATGTCATTATAACTGCACTGGCGATTCCCAGACACCATGTACTGTGCCAGTGCCTGGCTGGCTGGCTGCCTAAGATCCCCTCAGGGACCTGGAATAATCAACCAAATAAAACA